CTAATGTTTAAAGAATATACCAGACGGACATTAAAACAAAATTTAGGATATTAGGTACCTACCCTATTAGTTAATACCCAAGTGCATCAAGAGAACCTTTTTACTTGAACGGCTGAATGATACAGAACTCTGCGGCCCTGTGCAACTTGCTACGGGTAATATAGATAAAAACGATTTGTTATTTATTTAACAAAGCTAATCAGTAAACCTTCGAAACTTCCACGACGTAAATCCAACATGCGAGACATGTTTAACAGCATAACAGCACTTTTTTGGCCAAAAGAATTCGGAATATCATATTTGTAGGAAGCAGAAGGCTGGCCAGTATGGAGGCATTTGCTTTGCAATGGGACGTTTATGACCAAACATAATATAAAGTTTCACATTAAAGGTCCATCTAAGAGAACACAAGCGTCGTAACCGGGTGAACAAGCACCGCAACGTGCCGTGGCGGACCGCGCCCGTCCCCATACAGGAGCTCAGCGTCGACATACAGAACGACATACTGGAGCTACAGGCTGCGCATGCTAACACTCAGGATTGGGTAAGATATATAGATATACAGGTGATTTGTAATCGACCACAATCTCGTATGGGTTTATAGAACAGATCAACTCCAACATTTTTGTCAAATAAAAAGATAGGCGGAATTGAACGGTTATTACAGGTTATTACGGTTTACAGCGTTACCGTAGGTGTTTAACTAGTACGTAATATACTATAACGGGCTGGTGCTAAAAATCAGCGCCGTGGTCTCGAGTCTCTGGTCCATGGTATTAAGCTGAGCTCCAGCCTTTTGCGCTGCGACGCACCATAGGCTTTTTTGTGTGTCCCTAAATTCTTGTTTTTCTTCTAAAATTCTTGTCTTGTGTCGTAGCAAAATAAATGGTTTTTCTTTCTTTCTTTATTAAAATAATTAACATTTTAGTGTTAAATTCAAAGTGACATTTAGACTCTCCCGCGAGTCGAGACGAGGCAGAGATGCATTGTCGTTATTCAAAAATAGTTGTAGCCTTTCTCGCATTATAAGACTGCAATGTACTTCAACCTCGTGTCATCTCGCGCGAGAGTGTAAATGTAGAATTACAATACCTACCTACGATGCGACGTTGTTTCCCTGGCGCATGGTGGGCGGCTCGCCGTCAACTCGTCCCGCGCCGACGCCGCGTGGGCAGCGCGCCATAAACACGCGCGCGCCTCGACTACACCTCGAGTGTAGTCACCACGCGCTCACCACCCGCCGTCGGCTGACGACATACGATTTAAAGTTCATAAGTCGTCGGCGGTATTTCCGACCCGATACGACCTTCAAACCTTCAAGAAAAGAGAGTTTTCCTTTTTAAAAGGCCGGCAACGTACCTGTGACTCTTCTGGTGTTGCGGGTGTCCATGGGCAGCGCTGATCGCTTACCATCAGGCGATCCGTGCGCTCGTTTGCCTCCGATTCCATAAAAAAATGTCGTTATAAAAAAATTGTGCCAGTCAGTTAAAATAAAATTGAAAATAATTATTTTTGTCTCGATCTTTTATTTGCCACTTCTAGTTTATAGTTATTTAAATGTACCTTTGTTGTTTGCAGACATATGAAGACAGCTCACACTCGCTAGAAATGGAGAGTATGTGACCAAAGCGGTGTTACAAGTTCGAGCGTCAGCGCGCCGCCGACAGAAAGCTGCGGCGACAAGCTTGGATGTAGATCAATGTACAACTATATAATAGGTTATAACCTGGGAGTCCTCAAGGCCCGAGTGAATAGGTTGCTTATGGGACGACGTGCTCCATCGTAGACCGCATCATCGCTTACCACCAGGCGAGGTAGTTTCAAACGTCGGCCTATCAAATATAAAAAAAATACTTAATTGAATTAAACATAACATCTATTTACTACACTTCGGAGCCAAGAAGCGGAGCCACTGTCGTTTTTATTCTTCATTTTATCGCATCATCTATAATTTAAAGAAAAAGAGCGTATTCGTTTTTAAAAAGCCAGCAACGCACCTGTGTTTCTTCTGGTGTTCCAGGTGTCCATTGGCGACGCTAATCGCTTACCATCAGGTGATCCGTCTGCTCGATTGCCTCCTATTCCATAAAAATAACATAAAACAAAAATATTCCTTATACAACAAAATTATATTTAAAACTAACGCCCAAATACGGAAAGCTACCCAATTTTTAGATCTACTTAAATATCGTGACATCTATGTCATTACCAAAGAAATTGTAGTGACAGAACAGCAGCTGTAGCCAAATGCCATTTAGCGCTTGTCTACTTGTAGAATAGAAAACCAAATTGTATGGAATTGACGTAAATTTTGACACTTGTCAGTGTCATCTCCATACATTTAGTTTTCTACTCCCTCGGTACACAAGCACTAAAGTGGCGTTTGGCTATAGGCACAGAAAAGACGGTAAGCGCGACTTAAAATTGAGTAGCCTTCAATATTCTGGCGTAAATTACGTTTTATACGACCTACGCACGTTACCAATTAATAAAATACTTGTATGAGAAAATATTTATCAAGAAATGGAAATGAGAAAACGCTAGTGGCTCCGTTTCGTTGTTCCCAAGTGTATGTGCAGCTGAGGAATGTGTTTATTAGTAAAATATTTTCAATTTTATAGTTTTGGACTTTGTATAACTCGTGTTAACTTGAGATGTCACACTCTATTGTTCTATTGCATGGGAAAGATGCTGAATGTAGTATATTGAAATATTAACTGCCCAGTCCCCAAGCGGTCACTGATGACCACTCTCCACTTACTCCATTATAGTACTTATTTCCAATGTTTAGAAACTACTTTTGTATGAACAATTATTAAACTGTCAAACACCAAGCGGTCACCGGTGACCGCGACCTATTGTTCTTTAATTGTGTCTATAAAACCGGTACTCGACGAGTTAAGAAGTGGTACATTCAATTAGTATTGGGCCCAGTCTGTGTGATTCCTGGAATTTAACAAATGGTAGCGGTACGTAAGCAAGGTGGAGTTTACAATGTGAGTGAGCGAGACGGGTATATGAGAAAGGGAGACAGCGCACTTTCCTATCAGTAATTTTTGGCCATTGTTTTAATATTTACTTTTCCCACGCCCACGAGTGCCGTGTAGGGGATGAGCGTATTGTCTTAATATCCCAAACTCCTTATAATTAGACTGGAGCCGAAGCATTCTAAAAATTTTTTTTATTACCTACTACTTCGCCATTCAATATTTTTCCATGGGACCTGTAGTTCTACCGGAAGTCAAGATAAACCATTTTAACCCTTAAGAGCTTACCCCATCCCACTTCCCGATCTCGAATAGACTGTAATTTATTTTTCTTTTCATTTTTATCATATTCCCTTCCTTTTCTAATGGGTTTCATCCTACTGTAATTTTTATTGTTTTCAATAATTATCGACACTGGTCTAAATACCGAGAATTAAAACAATTAAAGGTGAAAGTCATAGAATAGAAATAATTCATTCAAATATAGATTCGGCCTTCTTTTGACCGCGGCTTCGCGTTTTAAATTCGGAGTACACCTAAACCTTCTTGAATCATCATTCTTGACACATACTAGATTAATTATTATGTTTTTATTATTAGTCACTTAATAATTTGACGAGGAACTCGACTAGTTTCAAGCCAGGCTCATATTCATGAGCAGCATTGGATTGCAATTGGTTATTAGATTGTTTTAGTTTAGGACAAAACTCAAGATCCAAACGGCAATGGATTTTAACATTAATTTATACTTATTTGTTATGTAACAAATGTACAAATATAAAAGATTTTAAATTGTTTACGTTGAAAAGTTATAAATTGTGTAAATTATGTTAATGGAATTATTGTGTGAATACCATACATAGACAATGTAATTATATTTATGACAATAAAGATTGACCGTTAAATAAGATCACGTTTTTTATTTCTTGATGGAGTTGGCGGAACAGTACATACAAATATACAAGGTGTCTTTTGAAACCTTGGCATTTCTCGGGGGCATGTCACAGATGTCATAAAGTTTCAATGTAAGAGAAAGTTTCGGGCCCATAGTTAAAAATAAGTTCGACAGCATTTCAGAATAAGCGACAGCCATGTTTCTTATTGGAGTTTTATGGAATTAGGAATAAAAGCAATTACGTGTTTGAGTTTGTGTGTGATAAGCCGCGAAATAAAGCTAGTTACAAGACGGCGACGTGTAGTTCGCACTTACGGATTTCCATAATTTACACAAATATTAAAAATATTGACCTACAATTTTTTTTTATTGAATCGGTCTCAGAATCGATAGCCGAGTTACCTCCTAGAAAATGACGCGGATTTAAAACAACACTTCGTATAATTATTATTCAACCGGACGTCGCGGTAGGAGATGGCGGGATGAACTGGACGCCTATGAAAAGGATTGGCCACAGAAAGTAATAAGAAGAGATGAGTGGAAAGAGAGTAGCCACCCTACTCTCTTTCCACTCATCTTTGCCCTGCTGTGGGATGATCATGGCTAAAAATAAATATTAAATAGTTAAATAAAAATAGTTAAACAATACTCGGGCCTTGAAGACACCCAGGTTATACTCATCAGAAAATAGTCTGGCAAAGAATTCCATTTCTTAGCAGTACGCATAAGAAAGCTTGAAGCGAAGCGCTTCGTGCGAGTGGGTGGGATATTCACCATGAAGCGGTGGCGCTGCGCCGATTATGTTATGGTACGGTGACGGAATGGACAGCCCATTCCCTTCGCTAGGGAATGAAGTTGTGCTATTCAATAATCAGAAAATTATAATAGGTTAAAATGTGTCTCGAGGCGCAAGGGGTGGAAAGCAGGGGGTATATGGGCCTCGCGGTCTATAGGCCTTACACGTTCGCCTCGTGTTTGCAAATGCTCAGACACAAGTGACACAATATGCCGACTGTAACCACACTCCTGTTCAGATCAGAGGACCGCGTGTTCATATCACGCAGTTCATTTTATTAAAGTTTAGTAAATTGAAGTGAATACTCATTGTCATATAGATTTTACTGATGACTGACGGACTTCCAGTTGATTGGAGGTCGATACAGAGGACCGTGTGGCTATAACATAAGTTTTACAGGTCATTTAAACAACATCAAGCAACTGGCTGCCATGTGTCGTGGGTTCGATTCCCACACGGAACAACTCTCTGTGTAATCCACATAAAGGAATTCAATAATTTTAATTTAATTTTGCTATGGCGTAGTCTAACGTAGCACCGTGTAGCCGTGTCATATGGCGTAGCAAACGTAGCAGTCTTATATACTACGGCGTAGCTTGATGTACAATGTAAAAAAAATATTTTTTTTTCAAACATTGCCCCACAATAAGATTTTCTCCTGTGTCGTGGGTGCGATTAGAAACACAAATTCATATAAACATGACACACAAATCTAGAACAATAATATTATTATGAGGATTACACAGACTTGTTCCGTGTGGGAATCGAACCCGTGACACGTTGCACGGCAGCAGTTGCTTGATGTTGTCTTAATGACCTATAAAACTTATGTTATAGCCACACGGTTCTCTGTATCGACCTCTAATTAACCCAAAGTCCTATCAGTATTCACTTGATTTTACTAAACTTTGATAAAATGAACTGCGTGATATGAACACGCGGTCCTCTGATCTGAACAAGCACGTGGTTACAGTCGGCATATTGTGCAAGTTGTATCTGAGCATTTGCAAACACGAGGCGAACGTGTAAGGTCCTATAGACCGCGAGGCCCATATACCCCCCGCTTTCCACCCCTTGCGCCTCGAGCCACGTTTTAACCTATTATAATTTTCTGATAATTGAATAGCACAACTTGATTACCTTCGCTACGCTGTGGTATAACTCACGCTTGGTATCCGGGTAGATGAGCTCGCGGCGCAGCAGGGAGTCGGGCAGGTATTTTTGCACCTCGTGTCGACGCACATACCGGCTCTGACAAAACATTAAAAGTGATTTACTGATTTACTGCTGACAAACTTATATCAGAAGAAACTTATATGGGAGACTCTCAAAACCATAAATACATAAACTAAAACACTATTTTAATTAGAGGACCAATTTCTACAAAGATAGTAATAAATTACCTGTATAGCCATGCCGTCCTGAATCATGTTGGTTTTCCTCCCGATATTGTTGACGTTCTCCGTGAACGTCTGTATGTGACACGTCATGTCTAAGTTGACAGAGGTCTTCTGAAACTCCAACCCGATGAACCACATCGAGCAGCAGTTGGCTGGGGCCTGCCCAGTGGTTGCACTAACGGGTGGACAGTCGTAGCACTTTGGGTGCACCCGCGCTAATGCCACTGGTTCGTCTATATTAAGTGATTCTGTAACAAATATACACCGTTAGATATATTGCCGTTAAGAGGCCGTGAGCTTGCATTACGAAGCTAAGTGAAATACATTATAGTGAATACTGACCGACTAGATGTCGAATCCTGCTCTCAACGAGCCCGCACCACTTCAGCTGGTCGTCCTGGCTGGCGGAGGAGGCCAGCACTACCGTAATGTTTGTAATTTTTTAAAAATGCGGCCTTCTCGAACAAACGCTGCCACCCACACCTGCCCTTTATTATCTCTTCAGTGGTGGCCAGCCCTGTGCACAAATATAATATTCATTTGAAATACTTTCATAGAATTACACAACGAAGGCAATATTTCATTTGATTTCAAACTTAATGTCATTTGTATCTTACAAATGACATTAAGTTTGAAATGTTACTTGTTGAATGATGTACTTACCAATCTTAAGTTCTTCTGCCATGACGGACCTGGTGGAAACCGTCACGTTAAATGTAGAATTTTGGTGAGGATAAGCAGGAGTGATGATGGGCACCACGTGATCTCGATCCGCCTCAATTATATTAAATCATTTAACAATTTTCTGTCAAAATTAATAAAACACAGAGTGCACAATTTTATTAAAACTATAAAATGCAAATGTGTTTCCGCTATTAATTCAAAATTTTCGTCGCGACATGTACCATATAAAAAAGGGCCGACCACAGAGCAGTCAACTGCTGCTCCACGTGGAACATCGGGTTGGAGTTTGAGAAAACCTCTGCCAACTTAGACATGACGTGTCACATACAGATGTACACAAGTGTGTACACTTTCGTTTCACAACCTCCTTATTTTGTTAGGGTACATTGTCGCGACGAACCGGATGAACTCCGGACCCGACCACAGCGGCACGTCGGTGTGGTCGCCGCCCTCGGCGGGCCGCTTGGTGGCGTTAAGAGCCGCAGACGGGGGCGCGGGCGAGGCCGGGGGCGCAAGCAGAGGCGGGGGCGCGGCCTGGGGGGCAAAGCTTTGATGTAGCTTTGCGTCGGGGGAGGTGAGCTCGCGGCGCAGCAGGGAGTCGGGCAGGTACAGGTTCAACTCCTCTCGACGTACATACCGGACCTGACAAAACATCAAATGTTACTAACTGCTGACAAAATTATAGCAGAAGAAACGTAAATGGAGACTAATTAATTTGTTAATTAGGGGGGACCAATGTCTACAAAGATTAGAAGTAATAAATTACCTGTATAGCCATGCCGTCCTGAAGCATGTTAGTTTTCCTCCCGATATTGTTGACGTTCTCCGTGAACGTCTGTATGTGACACGTCATGTCTAAGTTGGCAGAGGTCTCCTGAAACTCCAACCCGATGAACCACATCGAGCAGCAGTTGGCTGGAGCCTGCCCAGTGGTTGCACTAACGGGTGCACAGTCGTAGCACTTTGGGTGCACCCGCGCTAATGCCACTGGTTCGTCCATATTAAGTGATTCTGTAACAAATATACACCGTTAGATATATTGCCGTTAAGAGGCCGTGAGCTTGCATTACGAAGCTAAGTGAAATACATTATAGTGAATACTGACCGACTAGATGTCGAATCCTGCTCTCAACGAGCCCGCGCCACTTCAGCTGGTCGTCCTGGCTGGCGGAGGAGGCCAGCACTACCGCGAAATGTTCAAAAGCGTTAAAAAACGCGGGCACCTCAAACAAGCGCTGCCACCCACACCTGCCCTTCATTATCGCTTCAGCCGTGGCCAGTCCTGTGTACAAATACAATATTCATTTAAAATACTTTCCTACAATTACACAACGAAGGCAATCTAGATACAAATGACATTAAGTTTGAAATGTTACTTGTTGGATGATGTACTCACCGATCTTCAATTCCTCTACCATGACGGTCCTGGTGGAACTGGACACGTTAAACGTCGAGTTTTGGTAAGGGTAGGCAGGAGTGACGATGGGCATCACGTGGTCTCGATCTGCCTCGTTTACCTGAAACAAATTACATATACATAAGCACATACACAATTACGTACATCTGTAAGTATTAACGAAGGAAAATAACTATTTTATTTAAGACATAATTATCAAAGAGAAATATCCAATACTCACTCTAGGATCCCACACGGGGAACCCAAGGTCGACATAATCAGGTCGTTTCAGCAGAACTGGTTGCGGCCACTTCCACTGGCTGAAGACGAGGAAGAACTTGTGCACCAATGTCGCAGGCGGTGCGTTGGGGTACAACTGACAGGTCCGGGCTACCAACATGGCCCATGACACACCGCCCAGATAGCCGAGTGCGTTTGAGTATATGCCGTGACCTGTTCAAAATAAATCCATTATTAAATACCGCTAAGACGAAGCTGCACAAAAAATGTATTTTAATTGAAATTAGTTGAGTCACTTACGTTTAGCCCACAGTTTGATGGCGCGTAGTGTGACCCTGAAGGTGTCCACATTAGGCACGAGGCGCAGGATCTCGTCCGTCACTCTGCAGCCGTTCAGTGAGCGCACACACTTCGGGTACATATGTTGCAGCAGTACGTCACCATCGAGGTCCAAGGAATCTGTGCACAAACATTATTCATTATTTCCTGAAGAGGTAAGTAATTTATGTTAACCAATACAAATGGAATTTAACAGACTTTTCTTATAAACTGTGAGAAGATTAAATATCGTACCTGGGATCTTTGGCAGCGGCAGCCTAGCGAACAAAACGTCCATCTCGATGCCATGAAACGACATTTTGATGCACGGTACATAAGCAGCCTCCACCGCCCTCAAATCTTTAACCTGCAAAACAAACAGTAGATATGTTAGTTTTACTATAAAATGTAACATAGTATTGGAATACGTATCTATTACCCAACTGATAAAAGTCGAGCACGCTCAGGTGCGTTATACCAACCTCCGGTTGTGACTGCAAGAGTTTATAAAATGCAGAGAAAAAACTTCTCCTCTGAATATGACGCGGCGCAACGCACAGCGCGTCGATGTCAGCGCCGCGGTTGTGTACCTGTTAAACGATACATATCCATATGTTAATATAAATTCTTTAAAAATAATAAAAGATAAAAAATAAAAGTTCTTAAAAACAAACACTTACCCCTAGCCTGTATGAGCCAAAGCAAAGCACCTTTCCTCCCACAGAACTGGCTACAGCAGGAGGCATGTTCTGTCTAAGAGACTCCTCCCTGATCCACTTCAGAACGAGGTTGTGCAGGGCGCTGATCACTGAGCACCGGTGCTGGGTCTCTTGTTCCGTCTCAAACACCCCAAACGAGCCGAGGTATTCTTGCAGTTGCTCGCTTTTCTCGCTATCCGCGAATGTTGGACCTGTAAACATAATGTAAATTAATACAAATCCTTCACAAAATATTTGAAAGTTTCACTTGAGAACAGGACAACTGAAGATAACTCACCATCGTAAGATATAGCGGAGGTCACCCCGAATGTTTTCGTTCTCTGCTGGTCTATTCCTCCTGCAGGGAAGGGTTTGCGAGTATTCCTGTGCGAATACTTCGACATGTTTCTGAGATTATTTCTAGCTTGACTAATACCACTTGTAGGCATCTCAGCGATCAATAAATAACTCAGGGTTAAGAGTAAGACGTCAGTATCTCCTGGTCACCAGACAACCGTACGTTACCGCGATCCGAAGTAAACTGACTGACCGAGATTCGCTGCTCGTCCTTTAAATAGCGAATCAGGTAATCACATTTACAGTTTTTTACACGATTCAACTTTTGACCCTTTTGTCTAAAATCCCTTTATCTTAATTGCTACCTTACTGGTGCGATCTAAACCTATTGTATTGTATGTATCGGTACCGTGGGACTTTTTATGTAAACAAAAAAGTATTTAAACTGTCAAACACCAAGCGGTCACCGGTGACCGCAACCTATTGTTCTTTAATTGTGTCTATAAATACGGTACTCGACGATAAAGTTCGGAGAATGTGGTGCACAACGATAATGCATTGTGAAGTAATAATAATAATCAATTCTTTATTTCTCCTCACAATTGTGACACTTATTCTAGTTTTACAATTTATATATTATCTAGTTTTTATGGCAATGCGAGTTGCTGGAGTCTGTGTTAGGCGTAAAATACCTGTATTACAAATCTCCAGGTCCCCACCCCACGGAAGAACAGGAAGCTTCTGTGTGATGTATTACATTTTAATTTGCAAAAACATTAAAACCAAGGAATAGGGAAAAAAGAACATAATGTATAAAATATAGAAGTGGAAATAGAGAAGATACAATATGAGTATTCATTTATTTTATTTAATGAACACCTAGTTAAAGTCACAGTGATCCGCTGGATACAGGTCTCTTTCAACCGGCTTATCAAGAAGTCATCAGAGGAGGCCTATGTTCAGCAGTAGATGTCTTGTAGCTCATAATACGATGATAATAATTATAAGCTTTAATTCAAAACTAGACATTAAGTTACATCAATCTAACTGATAAACTAACACATTAGTGATCAGCGTGTCCTGTGACACGTGCGCCTCTTCCAGCTTTTTCCACTCGTCTCTGTCTCTAGCTGTTCTTGATCACGTAGCCGCTCCAACTATTCATATATCGTTCATTCATCTTTTCGTCTGTCTGCCTCTTCTTCTTCTGACTCAATATGTCACGACTCGCTTTGGAATATGATGATAATACGACACACAAAATATACCTACGTATAAGTGAACTTAATCTATACTAATATAATAATATAAAGCTGGAGAGAGTGTTTGTTTAAATGCGCTAATCTCAGGAACTCCTGGTTCGAATTGAAAAATTCTGTTTTTATTGAATAGATCATTTATCGAGGAAGGCTTTAGGCTACATAACATCACGCTGCGAATAATAGGAGCGAAGAAATATTGGAAAATGTGGAAAGAATGGACAAAATTATTCATCTTTGAGGGCTTCCGTTGCGTGCCCTGCGAGAACGGTTCAAGATACCAAAAAATATATATGAAAGAATTATTCTTCTTGAAATGATCCAAAAAATGTCCGCGACAGTATACGTCTATCGTTTAACTCATTAGAACCGTTTTATGGTAATCCAATTTGGTCGAAATTAATGCATTATTAGGAATTATCTATTTGTTAGAGTTGTATTAACATAATAATATTAATCTTTTCTTTATTCAAATAAAGGTATTGTTGATTAACCCTTTTTTTTTAAGGGGGGAAAATCATCGAATGACTGCTCCCGCCTGGGTGAGGCGGGAGGGAGTGTCAGACTCTTACTGACTAAAAACCATCCCGTTCCTTCTCCTGCACGTCGAGCCGGAGCCCCGGTTACCCGTTAGGTTCTCCGCGACTTGATTAACCCTTAAATGCATGATAAACGTATTTAATTGTAAACGTAATTATCTTTGATATCATTTCATTTCAATGAACAACTTAGAAGGAATTACTATTTTAAAATAACTCCGATATAATTTTCAAATGCGCCGCCTGTATGATGTGCAACATTTGTTACTTGCACACAAAGTTACTTTTAATAGGAGACGGGAAACTACCTCATTATGAAAATAAAATTGAAATTGATCGCGATTTTGGAAAAAGAGTGAGTAACACTGAGGATTTAATATCGTAGTTTACCCTGAAATCAGCGAAATCTAGATATATAAAAGAAAGTCGCGTTAGTTACACTATTTATAACTCAAGAACGACTAAATCGATTTGGATGAAAATTGGCGGGGTGGTAGCTTAGAACCAAGAGACGGACATAGGATACTTTTTATGTAATTTTTTTTTACTTTTACCGAAAATCACGAACGGGGACGGGGGGGAAATGGGATTGCGCGTACGAAGTCGCGGCCAGAAGCTAGTAGAAAATAAAGATCATCATCAATGGATGTGTCGAAAGGCAATATTGGCGAGAAACAGTAGCGTGGACGAAATTAACGACCTAAATTTAAATAAACTTCCAGGAGACATAGTTACCTACACATCTATTGATAATATCATCAATCATGAAGATGCGGTCCATTACCCACAGGAGTTTCTTAATTCTTTGAACAGAAGTGACCTTCTCTCATATTCCCTTAAGTTAAAAATAGGTGCCCCAATAATTTTACTTAGAAATCTTAATCCACCAAATTTATGTAACGGGACCCGACTTCAAATCAAATTTCTTCGCAATAACCTGATCGTTGTAATAGTTATGACAATGACTGGTTCCGCAATTGGTCAAACAGTGCTTATACCTCGCATCGTAATGATTCCAAATGATTTACCTTTTGAATTTTAAAAGAATTCAATTTCCCGTTAAGCTATCTTTCGCTGTTACAATTAATAAATCACAGTAGCAAACAGTTTAACACGTAGGAATCGATGTACGTCAAGACTGCTTTTCACACGGCCAACTACATGTCGCGTTGTAAAGATCGGGTTGCACAGAAAACCAATATGTTCTTCTGTCACAAAAAAAAATATAATTTACGTAGAAGTACTTTAAAATATTAATGTTCTTTTAAAAACTTAAAACTAAATTGTCTAAGAAAATAACAAAAATTTCTACGGACATAGTCGTGGGTTTTGGAGGTATTTTGCTTGTATCTGCAATATTACCGCGGTGGTCTTCACGGACAATCGCTATTTTCTCAGAAACACCAATTCAGTTACATATTTTAAATTTAGTGCCCGATAAGGTGCACTATCTCCCTCTCATATACCCGTCTCGCTCACTCACATTGTAAACTCCACCTTGCTTACGCGCCGCTACCATTCAATATGTTCCAGGAATCAGACAGACTTTTTCCTTTTTTTTATCTTTTTAAAAATTGAGAAAGTAAGGAGTGTAAGACTGTGGCTAACACTAATGGAACGTTAATTACATTTTGCCTTTACATACCTATTTTTATTTCCACACCTACTAAAGGTAAATTGTGAACATAAGAAAACCTTCATAGAACTAGTATTCTAGATTTAGACTAGATCTGGGTGTAACGCGACATATAGTTGGCCGTATGAAAAGCAGTATATTCTAATAGAAATCAATGATTTCAATTTAATTTTGGTATGGCGTAGTCTAACGTGGCACCGTGTAGCCGTGTCATATGGCGTAGCAAACGTAGCAGTCTTATATACTACGGCGTAGCGAAATGTAGCACTCTAGTATACTACGGCGTACCTTGATGTAAGTACAATGTAAAAAAATTAAGTTTTATAAACGTTGTCCCACACTAAGATATTCTCGTGTGTCGTGGGTCCGTTTAGAAACATATATATTCGTATACAACTAGATCTGGGATCTGGGAGTCATGACTCCCTCCCAGATCCAGAACAAGAATATTTGGATTGCACAAAGAATTGTTCCGTGAGGGAATCGAACCCGAAACACGTTGCACTACTGCAGTAGTTTGATGTTGTCTTTGTGGCCTATTAAACTTATGTTATAGCCGTATTGACCTCCAATTAACCGGAAGTACTATCAGCGAAATGGATATCACAATGAGTATTCACTTGAATTTACTAAACTTTGATAAAATGAACTGCGTCGGTAATTCTTGTTCTTTGGCGAATTTCCATATTTCGGATTTTGTCGCGCAAAGAAACTCCGAGCATAGCCCTCTCCATCGCACGCTGAGCGAATTTGAGCTTCTCCAGAAGGCCAGAGGTCAGGGACCACGTCTCGGTACGATACGTCATCACATCATCATCGTGATATGAACAATAATGAACAATTCAATTAACATAATTGAAACATTCAAAGTAAGTACACAATTCAAAATATTTCATTTTTAGTACATTTGTTACGAAACAAATGAGTAAAAAATCTATTGCCGCTTGGATCTCGAGTTTTGTCCCTAGCTAAAAAATCTATCTATAGTCAAAATTAATAGCCAATTCCAATCCAATGGTTTTTTTTCAGGGGCTTAAAGTAGCCTATGTAATACAGACCGCATCTACATCTACTACATGTTCCGAATATCATCCCGGTCCCTTCAGTCGTTTAGATTAGATGTGACTGAGTACCTAACAAATTATTGTTACTGTGTATGTAAACACAAACTCACATATTTTCATATTTATAATATCGGTTCAAGCTAATTTCAACCATCGGCCCTATAGTTACAGCGTTAAGTCCACTGCGGGTAACCTATGACTAGGTGTTCATTAAATAAGATAAATGAATTCTCGTATTATATCAAGACTTCTAAATTTTATATATTACTAGCAGCCCGTCCCGATTTCGCACGGGGTAGACAATTATTTATTTTTGGAAATTTTGATTGCTGTAGTGACATAATTACAATAGTTGGACATATGCTACCGCAGAGTTTTTTGGAGACATTGTGATGTTCTTCAATATTGTTGTACATTATTTTGTTCTATCGCTAAAAGTTTCGGCAGCGCATTTGACGAAAGACATTTTAAGACTCTTTTTTCTACACCCTCGGTTACATTGTTCAAATTTTATCAAGAATCCCTAATTTTTTTCAAAATGAAATGTTGCCTATGTCAAATTGGAAGAATGTAGCATTCTATTGGTGAAAGAATTTTTTAAATCGGCCCAGTACTTTATCGCCTATTCATTACAAACATACAAACATACAAAAATACTAATATTATAAAGTATACTAATATTATAAAGAGGAAAGATTTGTTAGATACAAATCTTTCTTTCTCCTATTACTTTGTTTTTATGTCTTTGCGGACTTGCTTGAGACTTGTAATACAGATATTTTACGCCTAACATATTCTCTAGCTCCTCGCATTGCCATAAAAACTAGATTATAAATAAATTAGAATAAATAAAACTAGAATAAGTGGAGAAATAAAAAAATATTATTATTATTACTTCACAAAGCAGTACCGCTGTGCACCACATTCTCCGAACTTTACATAAATACTTTTTTGTTTACATAAAAAGTCCCACGGTACCGATACATACAATACAATAGGTTTATGCCGCACCAGTAAGGTAGCAATTAAGATAAAGGGATTTTAGACAAAAGGGGATTTTATTTTAAGTTGTATTGTGTAAAAAACTGTAAATATGATTACCTAAATATTCGCTATTCGGACGAGGAGCTAACCCCGGTCAGTCAGCCCTAAATGTTACTCACTCTTTCTCCTAAATCGCGATCAATTTCAATTTTATTTAAAATGAGGTACTTCCCGTCTCCTATTAAAAGTAACTTTGAAGGAAACTTTGCACATCATACAGGCGGCGCATATTATTTTAAAATTGTAATACCTTCTAAGTGGTTCATTAGTTATGTTTCTGCCACCGACAGAGGGTGCAAATGAAAACTATAATCATTAAACTAAGTTTATTATAATTAAAATTACATGGTAATTCCTAAAATCTAACTAACCTAAGAGCGAATGCGTTCGATATTAGAACGACACTGCTTTCTTATCTTAAAATTCTTTATTATAAAATTAGTATGAGTTCTTCGATTTCTCTTTGCAGATAGGATGGAGAACGGGTGTTCCTGTCAGACTAAATTTTATCAATTGAAATTGAAATATACCTTTCTGATAGTAGCGATAAGTTTTAGCTGACGAATTGCTGATGTGCAACTTCGATGACGAACATTCTTGCCTGTTGTGGAGATATTCGATCCCTCTTCAAGGTAAACTTTTATTCCTTTGTTCATTACTTAATCGTTCATTAATTATTGCTGTAGTGCCGGCGCTATAGTTTCCTTTTTTTCGGTAATTATATAATTTTTCCTCAATATGGAGTATAAACTTCGGTCCGAGTGCGAAAGGGGTCCGGCAGTGCGCCTTTATGGCCATAGGGAGGAAATTATGATGTCCGTATTGACCATTGATGATGAAGTCCATTACGACGCCGAAGCATGAGTGCGCGCGATGGTCTTCCAATTCATGGATGTCTTCCTGGGTGGTCTACTGCCCGAACACGGATTGTGGGCGACGAAGAGGGGGCACCGCGTATTTAGGCGAATGATTTGGGCCTCGCTCACATGTATCGTTACCACTTGCTTCTGGTTGCCTTGGAGGAGGTGGACATCCCAATGCCGCGCTGGAGTGCAGCTGGTAGTTACTCCACTTAAATTATATTAACTCGTCGAGTACCGGTTTTTTAGACACAATTAAAGAACAATAGGTCGCGGTCACCGGTGACCGCTTGATGTTTGACAGTTTAATGTAGTTTCCTTTCTTTTCCTTAATATCTTCTACTTTTTGATTTCTTAAATCCATTTTCCATATCAATGTCTGGATATCCTCTGCTATGTCTTCACGTAGATTCTTGATATTCGTACGGTGCTTGATAGCGACCCGGGTAGCACGCGATTACAAATATCGATATTAGATCATTTTAAGGCGCTCGCGAACCGGCCCGCGAATATCCTACCGACTGCGCCAGTTATGTTTCTGCCACCGACAGAGGGTGCAAATGAAAACTATAATCATTAAACTAAGTTTATTATAATTAAAATTACATGGTAATTCCTAAAATCTAACTAACCTAAGAGCGAATGCGTTCGATGTTAGAACGACACTGCTTTCTTATCTTAAAATTCTTTATTATAAAATTAGTATGACGGTTTTATTGAGGTTAAATTTAGTGGGGTGAACGATGATGTAGCGATTCGTGGCTGGGCACAAGACGGCGACAAGAGGAGACGACTCAGCAGTTCGAATGTTGCAATACTCCGTAGAACCTTCGTTGCATCAAAATAGGTGTAATGTCCTGATTCAGCAGATCTGGGCCTGGCGACACAGCTGATCACGATGTAGGTACATGTGTCGGCACCGATACGTAACACATTGAAATGAAGTGATGTCAAAGATAACTTTGATTGTGTCGACCTTGGGTTCCCCGTGTGGGAATCCTAGGGTGAGTATTGGATACATCTCTTTGATTATTATGTTTTAAATAAAATAGTTATTTTCATTCTTTAATACTTACAGATGTACGTAATTGTGCATGTGCTTATGTATATGTAATTTGTTTCAGGTAAACGAGGCGGATCGAGACCACGTGATGCCCATCATCACTCCTGCCTACCCTCAGCAAAACTCAACTTTTAACGTGTCCAGTTCCACCAGGTCCGTCATGGTAGAGGAATTAAAGATCGGTGAGTACATCATCCAACGAGTAACATTCCAAACTTAATGTCATTTGTATCTAGATTGCCTTCGTTGTGTAATTGTAAGAAAGTATTTCAAATGAATATTGTATTTGTGCACAGGTCTGGTCACGGCTGAAGCGATAATGAAGGGCAGGTGTGGGTGACAGCACTTGTTCGAGGTGCCCGCGTTTTTTAATACTTTTGAACATTTCGCGGTAGTGCTGGCCTCCTCCGCCAGCGAGGACGACCAGCTGAAGTGGTGCGGGCTCGTTGAGAGCAGGATTCGACATCTAGTCGGTCAGTATTCACTATAAGTCTACTAATATATTTCACTTAGCTTCGTAATGCAAGCTCACGGCCTCTTAACGGCAATATATCTAACGGTGTATATGTGTTACAGAATCACTTCAAAAGGACGAACCAGTGGCATTAGCGCGGGTGCACCCAAAGTGCTACGACTGTGCACCCGTTAGTGCAACCACTGGGCAGGCCCCAGCCAACTGCTGCTCGATGTGGTTCATCGGGTTGGAGTTTGAGAAGACCTCTGTCTACTTAGACATGACGTGTCACATACAGACGTTCACGGAGAACGTTAACAATGTCGGGAGGAAAACCAACATGCTTCAGGACGGCATGGCTATACAGGTAATTTATTACTTCTAAACTTTATACGACATTGGTCCCCCCTAATTAACAAATTAATTAGTCTCCATTTACGTTTCTTCTGCTATTTAAGTTTGTCAGCAGTAAGTAACATTTGATGTTCTGTCAGGTCCGGTATGTGCGTCGAGAGGAGTTGAACCTGTACCTGCCCGACTCCCTGCTGTGCCGCGAGCTCACCTCCCCCGACGCAAAGCTACATCAAAGCTTTGCGCCCCAGGTCGCGCCCGCGCCCCTGCCTGCGCCCCCGGCCTCGCCCGCGCCCCCGTCCGCGCCACTCAACGCCACCAAGCGGCCCGCCGAGGGCGGCGACCACACCGACGTGCCGCTGTGGTCGAGTCCGGAGTTCATCCGGTACGTCGCGACAATGTACACACTCTGAATTTTATTCATTTTAATTGAAAATTGTTAAATAATTTAATATAAACGAGGCGGAACGAGATCACGTGATGCCCATCATTACTCCTGCCTACCCTCAGCAAAACTCTACATTTAAGGTGTCCGTTTCCACCAAGTCCGTCATGATAGAAGAATTAATGATTGGTAAGTACATCATCATACTGATGGGATGGAATCTGGTATCAACATCAACGGCGAGTATACCACACACCTCCGGTTTGCCGACGACATTGTGGTCATGGCAGAATCGCTGGAGGATCTGAGCACAATGTTCAATGACCTCTGTAGAGTTTTTAAACAGGTAGGGCTCCGAATGAACATGGACAAGACGAAAATCATGTCGAATGCTCATGTTACGCCTTACCCGATATCAGTTGGGAGCTCTACCCTCGAAATTGTTGACGAATATGTACACCTGGGACAAGTGATCCAGCTTTGTAGGTCCAATTTCGAGAAGGAGGTCAATCGTCGAATCCAACATACCTCAGTGCCTCAAGACAAAAGTCTAAAATCAGTGTGTGTTACCAGTGATGAACTATGGAACTGAAACGTGGTCTCTCACTGTGGACCTTATAAAAAAGCTCAACGTCGCTCAGCACGCTATGGAAAGGGCTATGCACGGGATCTCTTTGCGAGATCGGATAAAAGACGAGGAAATCTCCAAACGAACAAGGGTCGCCGATATAGCCCAGCGGATTTGCAAGTTGAAGTGGCAGCGGGCAGAGCACATAGCGCGGAGAATCAACGGCCGCTGGGGTAGAAAGGTTCTTGAATGGAGGCCACGTACCGGCAAGCGCAGCGTAGGACGTCCATCCGCTAGGTGGACAGCCGACCTGATCAAGGTCGCAGGAAGCCGCTGGATGCAGGTCGCTTCCAACCAGCCTATCTGGAAGGCAGTGGGGGGAGGTCTATCCACAAAATTGAAAAGTTTCTGCGAGCTGTAAACGGTCAACGGACGAAGCAAAAATTGAATTTAAATCTTTAAGCCAGGGGATAATAATTCTTGTTATATTTATCAAATAAAACACCGTAAGCATAAAGCTCAGCATAAAGACGACGACAACTTCCTCCACAAACAAAAAAATATTACAAAAATCTTTACTAAGTTTGTTACTTTAATGTAAGATAGACTAACCAGTAGTATAATTTATGTCAATAAGCCTAATTTAATGACGAGTTTAAGCTTAAGTAACTAAAATTTAAATTATTATAGTTCCTTTGTTTACACCTTCCTCCTACCTACATTATTAATAAATTAAATTCATCATCATACTACATTTAAATAATAATTTTCTCTTTTGTTTTCTTATACCATATTACACCAATTTTCCTCACTTCAAGTCATCTTCCCTGTCTTTTTGCTGTTTTTTTTTTCTTCTATTTCAAAGTATTTCATCCCTGTCAGTATGATGACGAGATCTAAGGAAATGGAATGCAAACTAAGAGCAGCGCTGAAGGAGCTGGAGTCATCAAAGCACCTGTGCAACCAACTGCTGCAGGAACGGGACGATAGTAAAGTGGAAGTGACAAACATTATATATAAAAACAGTAAACTTAAAAATGAATTAGCTGAATTACATATGTGTCACACAGATCTACTACGACAACATAGTCAGTGAATTAAACAAGTCACTACATTCCAGCTGTGTAGCGGCACTCATGAACATGCTCTAACAAAAATAACACAACTAGGGCATAAACTGAGAGAGGCCCACAATACTATACGTAGACTAGAGGCTGGTAAACAATCTGTTCAATTAGTGAACACTCGGAGTCTGTACGATGAGTTGGTTGGGAGTGGATCTGGTGACGTGTGTGAGCCAGCCGTTACAATAGACTTGACTGGTAATAATAAAATCACGGCATGTCCTTATTAAGTAGTCACAACAAAATTAAAAAAACATCAAGTTAAATAAAACAATTAAGAAAATTAAAAAGAAGCAAAATCTTTCAAAATTAAATTTAAAGTAAAGGAAACAAAAAGTTAATTTAATTAGTGAATTAAATTCTTGCTCTGGTGAATTAGAACAAAGTAGCGCCATTTATGAATTGGACACTCAAGCTCTGCGAAAAGAGCTCTTGGAAAGAGAAATGTTTTTAAATCAGATGTTCCAAAAGTATGAATCCGCTCAATCTGAAATTAATAAACACATGATTGAGGCGGGTAAGCTAGTAGACCTAGTAACTTATAGTGCTGAGAGATATGAGTCTCTAGCAAATAACCTTGCTTGTAGCTGTACCCACACCATGACTCCGGAGCCGGAGCATAATATATCTATACATATAGTACCTCAACCAACTGTAAACAACAATGCTTGTGTGTTCACTGACTCAATAGGAGCAGGTATTGGGTCACTTATCTCAAATTGCCTATAGTGTAACTAATAACTGTTTTCATAATATAAAATTTAGCCCGATGATACAAAAAATACAAAAACAATGTATCACAGTAAACCAGCCAGCAGTATTGTTGATGGGAGATAGTACTAGAGTAAAAAAGCGTGACAAAGTGGATGGTATCAGCACCTTATTGAAATTGGATATCAGGGTGATATTATGTGCTTTCCCATATTCTGACACTTTGTCAGAATCACAAAATAAACATATTCAATATCTGAATAATTTAATATTCATGCTGACATGTTGTCATAAAGACAAATTAATATTTTTTGACGCTAACAAATTTGTTAGTGGTTTTAAATTGACCAAGGAATACATGTATATTCCTAAGAAATGTAAAGTTTTACTTGCTAGTTTGCTAGCAAATAGTATTAATTTAGTTTGAGTGACAAATCTATATTATCTAGACAATCTAATAATATAGAGATTGACTATAAATGTGGGTAGTACTCTGGCTAACCACGATACCAGATATGTATATTGTCCCAGGTGCAGATCTGCTTCAAACTCTTTAGGAGCATGAAGACAACCTAACTTTCCAATTTGTTTTAAATGCGGAAGAAAAGAGGTCAAATTTCCAGAATGTCCTAATAGTTATTCTAAGACTTCAAAAAAACTAGGTGATTTTTTTTTAAACTGTCAAATACCAAGCGGTCACCGGTGACCGCGACCCATTGTTCTTTAATTGTGTCTATAAAACCGGTACTCGACGAGTTAAGGGTGGAAAATCATCGAATGGCTACTCCCGCCTGGGTGAGGCGGGAGGGAGTGTCAGAATCTTACTGACTAAAAACCACCCCGTTCCTTCTCCTGCAAGTCGAGCCGGAGCCCCGGTAACCTGTTAAGTTCTCCGCTACAAAAACATATTTTAATAAAACCGAGTGGAACAATTGGCTTCAAACCGTCACCAAACATTTTAGCTTTTATTCTGTCTCATCAATCCGCAACACTAATAATGATTACCTTCGACCTTATGTCTCGGTTTCTGTTAATGATAAAAAGCTAATCGGCATTCTAGATACAGGTTCCAGTGTCACTGTAATGGGGAATAATTATCATAAAAAGTTAAGTGAAGGAATATTTGTCAACCTTTTACTTTCGTTGCTGCGGGTGTACAAATACTTGAATGTATAGGCTCATTACCCTTTACTTTTAATAATCAAACATAATTTAAATGTTTACATCGTATCAGAAATAAAAAAAAATAATTCTGGCCATGGATTTTTGGGGTAAATTCTGTTTATTTCCCCACAACCTTAATTCTATCTTATTTTTAAATCCATTGGACGCTCAGTTAGCAGAACTGAATTCGGACTTTGAACAATTGATCGACGACATTGTCATTGTTTCATCTTCTTTCAAACAACACATCTCTCTTATACTTCTTTTCTTTGTTTTTAATGTTAAAATAGAATTCCTTTAAACAAAAAAAAGTACATTGTTTGTCAAAAACATTACAATAAAAATAACGGTAACATTCAGCACTCAATACACAAAATAACAATAATCTACAACAGTCTATTAGATCCTCACATTTTATGTGGCTCCTTTATATAACTTATATTATAATCTATAAATTCATGTGGCGTTCATGAATATGAATAAAAAAATAAAAGCACCGATCAAAGAGAACCTTTGAATTGAAATTCGAAAATTTTATTCCACCTGGAACTTTATTATGTAACTAGCTGTTTCTCGCGATTTCTTCCACGTAGAATATGAGTATTAAAACAAAATTTGTTTTTGTTACAATTTGCCAAAATAAAAATAGCCTATGTTGCTCCTTAGTACATTACCTGCCAGTCCCATTACAATCGGTCCAGCCATAAGAAATTAGCCAGTATGAACACAGACAATAATTTAAAAAAATGGTATTTCTGTATAGGTATCGTATGTATATTCTTATGCATGTAGTAAATTGTATGGGACAGAAGGTAAAATGTGACATTATAAAGGAAATTGTATTTGACTACTATGACACTATGATTACAATCAATCTGATTTCCGGAATTTTGAGAAATATTATGTGTCTTGTCCTAAGCATTAGACTACGATCTTTATAATACATTTATCAATTCCTATTATGATGGAATGCGCGATTCCTCTATGAATCTTCTTACCTCATTCTTAAGTAGTCTAAGAATTTATGAACTTGAAGTTAACGAAAAACTGTCACCCAGACCCCAGTTGAAATGGGTGTTCCACAAGGACTGATACTAGGCCCGTTCTTGTTTCTTATTTATATTATTGTCTTGCCTAATTTGAGATAGTAATATTTAAAGTTATACGTTGCCTTTTATTTTCTCATTTAATTTAAATTGTTACGTTTGGTTATAAGCACGGTGCCATGCCGTACCGTAGCAGACATATCGAGATTGAGTGTTGCACAGCGCGTCCACATCCGCCTCTGAGGCGGAGCTTGGCGTGCGCAGAGGCGGGGCTCACAAGGCGTGGCCATCGAGGCAGGTAAAATAATCATTTGGGTTGTACATTTTCAACAAAGCATTGTTACTTTAACAAAGAACTTTAAATAAGATGATTACAATGACCAAAACAATTATAATTGTTGAAACAAAGTTAAGT